TTTTTGAATGAATTTTAAAAAATGATGAGAGTGAGAAAATAGCATGTAAGTGAAGGCCCTATAGAAGTGTGGTACATCTGTTTCAAAGCTTGGAAGTGCAGACTGTCTCTGAAACAATTGTGGCATTTGTAACTCTTTCCATTCTGACTGTGCAAAAGAAGAATTTGCCAAAATGGCCATTGTGTGAAAACCACCAGTAAGAAGTTTAATTTCCAAATATACTTTGTACATTTGTATTTCGCACAGCCAGGGTGGCAGAGCTGCAGAGCAGGCCTCTTTGGAGAGGGTGGCATCACACTGAAATAGCAGCTTGTTAATATTTGGCTTCTGTGAGTCACTGGAGGAAAGAGCATCCCACAAGGATGGTAGAGGGACCAGTTTAATGGAAAAAAACCTACTGAATACAAGGAAATAAGGAATAAACTGGTTCTTGTGCTCTTTCCCCAGGCATCCACTTTTGGCCACAGTTGGAGACAGGATACCAGCACTGATGAACCTTTTGCCTGACAGACATAGCTGCAATTACAGGACCACCGTGTGCAGAAGTCGAATGTGACCAAGCTCCCATCTGTGCCACGAAGCTGGAGACAAGAAAGTGGCAAAGAGCTTCAGAAAGGTAAAATACATTAAAAAAATAATTTTCTCCATCCTATCGGAAGGGCTGGCCACAGGTTCTGAATTACTGTGACTTAGGAAAACTGAGGAAATTCCCCAAACCAAGGTCCGAGTGCTTAAAGCTATGCTAGTTCACAGCCCAGGCAAGTACTTCTCTTCTGGAAAGCTCCAAAACATAATGGGAATCTTGAAAAGGAAGTGTTCCTCAATACTGGCTGTCCTACATGTGAACTAGCCAGACTGGTTAAAGCTTAATTAAGAATTGCCAGAGTGGCTGAATTCTTTTCTAAATGCAGCTGCAAAACGTTAGCTGTGGGCATATTTTAGATCTTAATTAGTTACACTTGCACTGGAGGACCAAAATCTTTCATGAATGCAGCTGCAATCAATTAATATCAGTTAGGCATTTCTGTAGGCAATACAAGGATCTCGGGAAGATTGTTTTAGTGCCCACCTAGATTAAAAAAACCCACAAAACTTATACACAACAAACTACAAAATCAAAGATAACTACAAAATGTCTTTATTGAAAAAAGCAGATTATAGCATCTAAGGTTAAATGAAACTTCTGACTTTAATATTAAATAACTTAGGATGATAGCAAGTAGCTTCTTCTTTAGATAAATAAATCTACATTTCCCAAATTTTTTCTTCAACAATCAAGGGAATCAAACACTGAAACACAAAACCACAAGGAATTTTAAAGACTAAAAGACGGAAGCACATTGAAAGGTTTTACAAGGATATATATATACAAAAATAGTTAAACTAATGTATATTTTCAGCATGTAAACTAGTTACATGATATACAAACTGGGAATTTATATATTTCCTACAAAATAAAAATCAATGTTGGTCCAAGTTCTTGGAAGAAAACTATATTCTTTTAAAGAAAATGAAAATATTTCTCAAATGAAAACTTAATTTAAGTCAAATTATATACTCTAGTTATGGCATTAGTTACAGAATGAATCACAAACTTTTCCTGAAACACAAGAAAGCAGCTTTTGTCTCCTTTAGAGCTTTGGTTTACTTAACTACTCTGGAATTTCAGGTCTTAAAGAGCTCCTCTAACCATGTTTTCCTTTTGAAGCTCCACCTTACAGAATATACACACACACACACACACACGTGTGCACACAAGTGAAAGGAAAAGGAAAGAAACCCAAACAAACCCTTTTTGAAAGCTCAATTATCTAAGTGTGTTCTTTTGTTTTGTTTTCCAATTATTGTTTTGGTCCTTTCTTTGGAACGTGTCCTCCAGTGCATGAGGGACGCCGAATCACCTGCAACAGCTTTGTGCTGTAGGGACTCTGTAGGATTCCTTACCAGAATGGAAAGGTGTAGTCCTGACACAAATGAGAACAAGTTGTTACTGTTTTACCTTTATGGAAATATTCTGAAAGTACAGCAAAGGCTTCTGAAGAACAATCACATCATAAAACGAACTCTAGAAAGTTTACATCTGTGTTGAACTGATTTAACAGAAGAATATGCCTTAAGAAAATCATTAAAAGAAGCTTTCTCATTTACATAATTCCCCAGACAGGAGGTAAAATGTGCAGAAACTGTCACTACCTCTAAAGCATACAGCACATAATTATTTTAGATTTGCTTTTATTTTCCTCTTTGATTGGAAAAAGAAAAAAAAACAACCCCAAACAAAACCAAGAAACTGGCAAATTTCACTCAAGCTCCAGTTTTTATACTAAATGCTGGCAAAGCAAAGCTGTACTTCATTATACAGTAATGGAATGCACCTGACTATAGAAAATACTGGAACAACAACTGCTGCTTTCTGGTTTTAAACAACTTGCTTATTCTAAATTGAAGTGTTACCTTTCGATATTTTTACCATGATGATACTTAACGCTTGGAACTGAGTAGAAATACAAGAGACTGAAAAATTAACATGCGAAATGAAATTAAATATTATTCCATTCTACAGTATGATCATTTTCGAAAAAGAAGAAAGTTTGTGGTATGTACATGATAGATAGTTTGCTGTCCCTTGCAAACCACGTTAGCGTGGAAACTTAAACTTGCCACTGCAGGAGGCAAAGGGCTAAGGAAGGTACTGGCAGAAGACTGGGCTGAACGCCACTGTAAGTCACCTCCATGTCTGGCCACTGTCATTTTGAAGGCTTCACTTCTATACTGACAAAGCATTTTTCCAGTACAGCGAGTACTGTTATGGGATGACTTGCTCACAGGAACAGACCCAATCCTTCTCTGTGCATTTTAATGATTGTTTTCTTAATTTGGGTTCCTTAATATATATTGTAAAGACAAGCAACTAAAAATGCCTCAAAGCTAAATGTGGTCCAAAGTAGCTTCCTTAAATGGAAAATGGATTACACTGCAGCTGGTGCTAAAAGTTTATCCCAAAGCTTTGGTATCTTCCATGTTTGTAATAACAGTAAGGAATTGAACTAGTCATACAATCCAATTTAAGGCAATTTTTTTCCTTTTTCTAGCATTTGCTGATTGGGCCAAGAGGCAGATGTACTTCCACTTCCTTCCAAGGCTGGGCTAAGTGGTGCCTACGGACACAGAGGTAATGTTTGCAAATGCAGAAAAAATGCACATGCACCCAGTGTCCTCTTTTGCAGGCCAGGCCTCTCCGGTCACACTGTAGAAACAGGGCACTAGTTGCACTGTCATTCCTGCAACACATGGCTATCACATTAAATATGTTAATTATAAACTGATATATGCTAATTAGAAAATGACTTTTAAAGGAGCATCTGACTTGCCAAGGAGCACTCAGTAGGACAGGTTAATCCAGGCCAATGGAAGTTTGGCAAAAGTTCAGGAAACATACCTTTTGTTCCTTCCTAGCAGAAAAAAAAATAGTTCACAGGAATTTTTCCTGCCCCTCCCCTTCCCCTATAAGGAAATTCCAGACTATTAAAAAGTTCTGTTAAGGCAGTTAATTATTCCACTTAGGAATTAGTGTCCATGGGATGCTCTTTGTACTTTTCAAGAGCACCACAAATGGCTTTCAAAAAAGCAATGGAGCATAAGAAACTGAACTGCAATGGTGTTGCCAAATAAATCAAGTCATTTCGTCAGTCTGCATGCTGAATTTAACACGGGATCATTTCCGAACGGATCAGTCAGATTCTTGATGTGTTGAGAACTAGCATGGAAATGTCCCAGTTCACACATGCAGAGAATCTGGTCTGGTATTTCCACATCCTTTGGAGCAGAAGAATTTTATTTTATTGTAATTTTGGATACAGTTAAAGACAGCAATGATGGATTTATTTGAAATATAAATTCAGGAAGGCTGGATCAATTCTCAAGAGAATGCAAGGAATCTTTTAAACATACAGATGTGTGATTTGCATGTAAATCATCAACACATGGTAGAAAACAAACCATAAAAAAGATTCATCTAACTTCCTATATGGAAGACATGTATTTCCCCAGAGCTCTGAGGTTACTGTAAAAGCTTATGCAAAATATGAGTGTGTACATTCTATGTACATCTAATACTTGTTACAAAATACCCATGTTTCAATGGTCTGACTCGCTAAATTATTATTTCTGCTAAACTGCACTTTGTTTTCCAATGAAGACAATCACCGTAATCAGTTCAAAAGTACATCTAGAAAAGAACACAAAGCTGAAAAGATAATACAAAAATCACTGTCCCCCGCTTTAATAGTGTGTCAACGTACAATCACAAAGCAGTTGGTAACAAATGTAGTCTTGTATAAAACAAGCAGTATAAAGACAAGTGTACCTTTGCATAGAATGGGGCTGCTAACCCTGTTAAACACAAAACATGTTTAGAAGATGAATTCTTTAGTAAGTGCCAAATCATCAAGTTGATACGACTGCATTTTGAAACCATGGCTACATTTGTACATGCCAAGCAATTACAGAGGTCTGAAAGTTTCTTCAACTGTTATGACTCTGCATGTGCCAATCTTTTGGATATATTCCTCTGTAATGCGACTTCTACGAGATACTAGCCAGATTTCTTTAACAAGCTTTGGACGACTGTGGAACCTTGTAGGATGGAAAGCTGGCCTGACGCTTCTTCACAGGATGCCATTATTTAACCTATGCTGAAAACTGTTATTGCTAAAACCACTTGTTTGCTTCTTATTCACTACTTCTGGGAATCTTAAGTTTGAAAAAGAATGTGAGACTGTATTCTCTAAGACCAAAATTCAACAAAACTAGCTAAAATGCTAGCATTTATCTTACCACGCTTGCTGCAATATGGTAAGGCGCTAACTTTCAGAAAGTAATTCTACACTCCTTATTGGGTGAAATCTCCACTGAAAGAAAGCGAGTAGGGAGTGCAGAACAGCCCTTTGTACCATTGTTTTTAGAAATGCTGCCATTTGCAGTTACAGTTTAGTGGTGAATTATTTGTTCAAGTAGACAGTGTCTCAGTGAAAACGTCTAGATAAAAGAATGTGTATGTACAAGATCAGAAAAGGACCCCTCACCTCTGATTTAAAAAATAAATAGCTGGTTTAGATGGTTACTACTGGAATCTCATCTTTAAAGGAACAGGAAAGTAATTTCTAGATTTTTGTCTTCTCTTTCAAACGGCTTATTGGTAACGGAAATGTCTTTCAGAGTTCTGTGACATGCATTGGATAGCTCGGAGGTGGATGTGAAGGCAGTTTAATATTAAGGCGCCTGATATGACAGCCGTGGCAGAGCAGGTGGCCCTCTAATGGATAACAACGATGGCCTTCCTCATCATTGAGCTGCAAGCCACAATCCTAGAAGAAACATACACATCCCAGATGAGCGAGTGATTCAGGTAGGTCAACTCACAACAATGTTGTCTATCTTGCCTAACCCCGAGAGCTCCCTCCCACACCTCCAAAGTCAGCAACTTCAAGAGTTTTTGGTAGGTGGACCCTTACTATCTCATATTAAGCAAAATGACATCACAGAAATTGAACAGGGCAGTCTATAGTAGTAACCAGCATTTTTTCCCCCATTGTTTCCTGTTCCTGTCTCTTCTTCATCTAATAGAAGTTGATGCAAATTAAACAAAAACAGGGCAAGGGCTGATCCTGACACATACAACTTGGGAGAGGTTACAACAGAGAAGGAGATAATTCTGCAACAAGGCAGTGAGCAAGAAATGGAGGAGCATAAGTAGAGAACGAGATGAGTGGGGAAGAGGGGGAGATGAAACCTGTTTTACTTCTGAAACAGAGCTACACTTTCTCTCATTTGGAATTAAAAAAAGACTTCAAGGTCAATGGTCCATCTTTAGCGGAAATGTTAGTGCCTCTGGGACCAGCATGTAAGTACAGGGATGAGATGGGTGAACAACAGTGGAGCAACAGAGATTAAAAAAAACAACAAACAATGATCCTGCCTGCTGACTATTATGTACACTGCAACAGAGACAATCCTGTTTTTTCAGTTGTCATCATTATAATCTCGAGGACAGCTGAAAATCATGGCAGTTTTGTGCTTGGATTTGATGTTTCAGGTATGCTAAATACTTAAAAATTGTTACTTGACCAGTCCTGACAAACCAGAGATTAAGTATGTATTTGCGCACTTAATAGAGAGGTAAAAAGAACTGAACAAGTCAGGCACGGCAGTCATTTAAGTATTGAAAACTGATGCAAAGTTTTTAATTGGACAAAAGTACAATTTTTCAGCTTTCATAGCTCAAGTTAAAATCCTCAACTTTTACAATGCTGAAATAAGAATGAAAAATGAGTTTTAAAGTAAGCTTTAAAACTGGAGTTTTAGTTTAGGGAGGCTTAAATCATAGTTTCTGCCAAAGTAGTTTTCTGTGCATTACTGTATGTTACATAATAACTTTATAGTCCTTCATGTAAGATTTAAATTTCAATTCCTCATTAGAATTTAACAATTTCAGATATCCTACAGATGTGCCAAGTCTTCACACCTTTTTCCCCTCCCCAAAATAGTATTCCTTTTCTGCAATGAGAAAGCCTGACTTCTCAGTGGATTTCAGTTTTAGAATGGGGGTCTATTGAGCTCTAAACCAGCCTGAATCGCTCAGCAGAACTTCAGTGGTTGCAAAAAAAAGAGATGATATAGAAAAGCAGCAAAGTTTCCAAACTGACTACTGACTTCGCATGGCCACCAGGTGATTTCAGAAGTGGCTATGTATGTCATCCTATCCTTTGCCGAAGTGTCCATGTGAAAACTTCACAATACTGCCATAACTTTTCTAGCGGGATTTGAAGGCAGCAGTGACCGGGTGTGTGCAGCTGGAGAGCCTGATGCGAGACCAGCAGGCAGTAACCAACCCTGGTTCACACCCGGCTCACCCCCTGATTGCTGTACCTAAATGCACTCTGCCATTCTGGGCAGATGTGGAGACAGCGTGATTTGCCTCAAACTGGAAGGAGAATGGGGAAATGAATAATGAAACAGAACTGAAAATAAACCCCCATTGGGACATTCTAATATAAAGTCAATAGACTGAGAGAGAAGGGGAAGGAGCTGTCATCTTAGGTGAAGCCTGCACAAAGCAATAGATGGGGGAAGGAGGAGGAGGGAAGTACAGCTCTCCAAAATGCCGCCATTTCCTGTGCCAATTTCTCTTTAAAAATTAATAGAAAAGGATGGAGTATCAGGTATCTCTGTTGGAAGAAGACAGCTGAGTGGATGGGGTCTTCCTTACATTTAGGTTCATATACATTTCAAGATGCCCAGAATTTTGTTATTTTCTCCCTCAACTGGAAGTCTCTGTAAAAAAACCTTTTTATGCAGAAGTGAATGGAAGACAGTATTGCCGCACTTCTGCCTCTGGTGCTGAGACAGTTAGGATCTGTGTGGATATTTGCATGTTATACCAGATTGCCAAACCTTCAGCAAAAGGGAAGTTTTGGTCTGATCCCAAATTAAGGTTTGTTTTCCTCCTCATGCTCCCGGATGCAGAGCTAGGACTGAACTCAGCTCTCCTCTGAAGCAAGAGCATTAATCCCACAACTTGATCTGCCCCAACAAACGCTTAAATGTCCTGCACAAAAAGAAACTACTCCCAAAAAAGTGACAAAGTCAGTGATATCCATCTCTTTTGTAGTAAAGAATCAAGTCATCCAGGATAGAAAAAACAGATAAATCTCCTAGAAAGACCTTCCAGTAGGAGCGAGGGTCCTTCCCTGCCCGGGCTATGTGAATTCAGGTCTCCTCAGATCAGAACTGCATAAGCTCCTGATCCAGAGATCAGGAAAAAGAGAACCAGCACCTACTCTGTGTTCTCTCCTGCTCTGGAAGTATTGAGAAAACTCAACCTGAACAACCAAACCCAGCTTTTGCAGTTAATATACCGGGGGAAAAAAAAGAAACTAATTTGGTACTGGAGATGGCAGCACCACTTGCAGCCCAGCTAGCGCTCATCCCTTCGCCTCCTTCCAGGGGCCATGGGGCAGAGCCCTGCCTGTCTAGGCATGCAAGAGCCAGCAAGTGCCCCCCGGGGTGAGTCAGGCACCTGCCAAGAGGCTGCTAGTTATGAGCCAAGCCTTGCCATGGGGTGGGCCGGCAGGGGGGCCTGATGCTTACCTCGCAGTGATAGCACTCCACATGGTAGTCCTTGTCCATTGACACCACCCGAATGGTCTCCTCAGAGCCCTGTTGGGGAGGCACAGAGAAGGTAAGAGTGGGCTTGTAAGTAGTGTTCTCTCAATTGTCTTTCAGTGCCCAACCTATTGCTTTAGAGAGCTGTTTCCCAGGGGGATCCATCCCCTCTTCCTCCTCAGAGCAGAGCTCAGTGACCGCTGAGGGTCTTGTCCCCTGGTGCACAGCCCTGCACTGCCGCTTCTGCTATTCAGCAGCAGTGTGGGTGTCTGACATATCTGAGCTGTAGAGGTCATTTGGGAAGTGTAGCCAAAACTTCATCCTCATGGGATAAATTAGTCTTGAAATCAAAAAATTTTCCAACAGCACCCAGGATCTGAACGAATTACCAGCCAAAAACTATGACCTGCTGATTAGGTAACTTTTCCTTGTAGAAATCCCAGCTTGAGTTTGCCAGGACATGTATTCCCCTCAAACCATATGCTGCACAGCTATTTTGCGCATGTCCCTGTATGTACCGCATAGGGATTTACATACTAGTCGAGCAGGTAACCATGTGCACAAGCCAAAACCTCAGCGCAGAGGGTGGATGCACTGGAGTTGTGTAATTCCTGGCCAAGCCCCAGGCCCTGCAGAGCAGCCCATACCCTTCTTGTAACCTCACAGA